ATATCCAGGATTCGTCACCTGATGCAATGTTGTATACAGCATTTGAGGATCCTGCGTGGAATCTTTCGAGAGTTCTGACGCACCAAGTAACGCGAGCCGCTTTTTGCTCTTCACAGAGCGAATGCGGTATCCATCGGGAAAACAACTTTTTTACACCTAATTGTTCATGCAAGATTATTTGTATTTGACTCATGCCAATATCTAAAGTTGCCTGAATTTCGCGGTATGTCACATGTCGATCTTCCTCAATCAGTTTACGCACAGCATCAACGTTTTCTTGGGTGACTGCAGTTTTTGGACGACCTTAACGGGGATTATCACTGAGCTTGACACGTCCACGTTGAAACTCAGCAAACCAGCGATAAATTGTGGTTTTGGATGGGGCTTCATCACCAAATGCAAAATCATCCGGTCAACACACTGTTTTTGTGTTAAACCACTTCGAAAGTCATAATAAATCATCGCTATTGAATTTTCTCGAGTCAATTCCATTTTCTCAACGACGAAACAAGTTTGACAAAACCTCGTGACAAGACCGAGAATCTTTTTTTAAATAAATAAATGGTATTCGATTTTTAAAACCAAAGAGTTTTAAATTAAAAAGATTTTAATATGACAGGAACAGTGGAAATATTCAATTCCCGATACTTTTAGTGCAGCCTAGTACTCATTACAGTACAAAATGCACCAAACGGATATAAAGAGGCAAACATCACCTAAACCTAATTAATAATTAATTACTAAAAACTTCACACGGTCGCGACAAAAAAAACTCTTAATGTATATTTATGTTTCAGTTTCTTATTATAATGACGTCAATCAAATTAATTAAAAGTTTTGTTTGTTACATCCACTTCAAGGAGGAACTCATTGTATTCTAAATTTAGTGATTTCGTTTTTGTCTTAGAAAAAAATTATGCCGAAAATTTTTTATTGTATTTATCATGTACTTTTGTACTAAATGAACGAATGTCTAACGTTTATTTTATCCTGCGTCTAGGTATTTGTTAAATAAGTATGAAATTGCCGTTCTATTGTAATAGGTACTTCGAATTGAAATAGAACCTTCATGGTTTGAGATTTTAGAGTAAAACTTTTTCAAATGGTACCTATGAGGTTCTTCTTTTAAAAAATGTGCAAAATTCGACTATCGACTTTCAGATGTTTTTTTTATTCGGCTTAGACAAGAAAGATTGATACTTAGAAAAATCGAGTGATTTTTTAATACGAGTTCCGACGCGGAACTAACGCTGCAGAAACAGCTCACAATATCAATGTTGCGTTCGGAGAGAAGACTGCTAATGAACGCATCGTACGATTTTGGTTTTAACGCTTTCGTGATGGAAATTTTTATTTGAAGAACGATCTACGTGGAAGACCGCCCACACATGTGAATAACAATGAATTGAAAGAGATGGTGGAAGCAGATTCGAGCCAAACTACCCAGGAATTAGCGGCATGGTTTAACGTTACCTTACCAACAATATTGACTCATTTGCGTCAAATCAATAAAATAAAAAATATGAAAAATGGGTGCGTCATGATTTGACTGATCTGCAGAAAGAAAAGCGTGTTGAAACTTGTGTTGTCTTGTTGAATCGATACAGAAATGAAGGAATATTGGATCGAATTGTGACATGTTATAAAAAGTGGATTCTTTACGATAACTGTAAGCGGAAAATGCAATGGCTGACCCTAGGTCAAACGCCGCAACAGTGTCCTAAAGCAAAGCTTACCAATAAAAAGGTAAAGGTAACTGTTTGATGGTCTCAGCGTGGTGTTATTCACTATAGCTTTCTCCGATCTGGTCAAGCAATAAAAGTAGATGTCTACCGTGCCTAACTCCGAACAATGATAGCAAAACTTGCAGTGAAACAGCTCCGACTTATGAATATGCACGAGAAACCGTTTTAACTCTACAGAAACTCAATTAGAAACCATTCGTCATCCTCCGTATTCGCCAGACCTTGCTCCAACGGACTACCATTTTTTTCGTGATTTGGACATTTTTCTACGTGATAAAAATGTTTCTTCCCAGGAGGCAGTACAATATGCTTTCACACTGTTTGTGGAATCTAGAGCCGTAAATGACCTTCCTATTAGATGGTAGCAAATAATGGTAGATATTTTGATTACGTAAATAATGTTAAATGAAAAAAAAAACAATTTAAAATTTTCAGTACAAATCGGCAATTTCATACTTTAGCCCCTAAATGTTATGCAAGACACACATTTTTATTAATTCATTGCATAGGATGAGTGGACAAGCTCACAGCTCCTAGTATTGGGTCGTTAACAAAGCTCATAGGCGAAAAACCTCGCAACCTGGCTACCCAGCTGTTCCTGAGCTATTGCAACACAGTATTAGCGTACCATCGATGAATCTGAGTGATGGATAAAGGGGTCGTGTCCTATGATTAAACATCTCAAACTTAACGGGCTGCTAGCCCTAGCAGCAAGCTCGTGAAAACAATACATTATTTACATGTGTATATCTTACATACCATAAACACTGAAAACATAATTCTGCCTGTTAAGTCTCGAACCTGTACCCCTTTTTTATTTTTTATTGCTTAGATAGGTGGACGAGCTCACAGCCCACCTGGTGTTAAGTGGTTACTGGAGCCCATAGACATCTACAACGTAAATACGCCACCCACCTTAAGATATAAGTTCTAAGGTCTCAAGTACAGTTACAACGGCTGCCCCACCGTTCATACCGAAACGCATTACTGCTTCACGGCAGAAATAGGCGCGGTGGTGGTACCTACCCGTGCGGACTCACAAGAGGTCCTACAACCAGTAAACCCCTATAAATTGTATGTAACCTATAAGTTTTTCTGTTTCTGCTTTCACATAGTAAACGAACCTATAACTTCCCAGATGAGCTGTTCTATGATTTACCGCAGCTGTTCCACCTGGATGACTATGAGAGGTGTCTGTCTAGCTCCGGAGTCTACTGCATGGGAGAATTTGATCTCTTACCATACAAGAACCAGCCATTGCTAGAATATATCGAGGTGAACATTTTTGAAAGGACTTTAATATGGTGCCTATTTACTTCAATAAACCAGCTATTTATATTTGACTTCGTAACTAATACAATGTATCTCCCATCCGCTCTGGAATATAATTTTCCTTCTAACAATCATGTCCTTCCCCTTCAAGTGAGCTTTAAAATTAGTCTTTATATCTCTTCCCGTTAGGTAGCGGCTTGCATTGCCGCATGCCAATGTCCACGGGGAATCCGACTACATAATTCTGGCTCCCCCGAAAACCTTCTAATATTCTCACCAAATTACATATTTTTATTAACATGAATAAAACAGGTTTACTGTTTTATTCATGAACTACCACTACTATGTGGATACTACCTACTAGTTACCTAGGTACTCGTAAAACTACATCAAAGAAGATGAAGATGTAACAAGTAGTTGTGGCCGTCCATTTTTAATGAATCAACAAGCGACAAATATAATCAATTTTCAATTTGAATCGTTTAATAAACAGAAAAAGAAAGAGAGTTCAGAGCGTGGGAGTGCTTACATAGATCGTTTCTCAGTACTAATAAAACCACCTTAAGCAGTTTTAATTAGTTTTATTGTTTTTTAGAAATACTCGGCGGATAAATATCACTTCAATCGTTCCCACATACACCGCGCGTACTGCGTGACGACGCGGTGTGCGCGCAGACCCGCCACAGAAGAGGCAAGATTCGAGCAATGCGTCCAGAACCACACAAGGTGAGCATTTTAAATTGACACATATGGGACTCGGGACTCCTCTGAGTCTCACAGCGCCGTAAGTATACCCGCTGTGCCTAACAGTAAGTCCGTTCCGATCCGATAGTAGATTCATTCGCAAAGCAGCTACTCGCTGTTGTACTACGAGTTGTTAGGTCTTCTTCGGAGGCGCTTGGGCAGCTGTTAGCAAATCCCACTCCTCCTGGCTGAGCCGTTGCTCGTCCACCTGTCCTGGTGAAACTGGAAAGGCCTCGGGCCCACCAGAAATCCATCAATCACTTTATATAAAACGCTTACTTGCATCGGAGTCACATTCATCAGTATTCACGCAATATGACACACTCACCAGAGTTCTAGTCTAGTCTAGTCTAGTCTAGCTTTTGATATTCCTACTGGCCTCATCAGTGTTTGTGTCTAATAGGTTAATCACGTCTATAGGACTATGCTACATTCTACTCAATAAAAACTTTAACTCGCAAAATGCAGCCGATATCTTGTGTTAGTTTTCTCCAATGTCGGCTGGAACATGCGGCTCTGACTCCCGCTCATATAAATTAGACGTAGCTGTTGAAAGAGGGTTGCCGCACGGTCAACACGCCGACAGACACAGCCCACTGAGTTTCTCGCCGGATCTTCTTAGTGGGTCGCGATTCCGATCCGGTGGTAGTTCACTCAGGTTGAGCCCGTGAGCTCACCTACCCGTCTGGGCGTAGCTGTGATAGCCTCTTAGGCTAGGTAGGAAAAAAAAAGTTCGACACGGATAGCACTAAAGTATCTTGAAGTACAGTTGAATACTACAAAAAGACTCTTAAAAAAACCCTAGTATTATTCAGGCTGTGAAAGCTGCCGCCTACTGTGATGATCGTGTTAAATTTCAGGGAACGGTACGGCCTAGATTCGAAGCTGAGAAAGTTGGTGTACTGTAAGTCCAGAAGCTCGCAGACGGCGGCGGACTCCGTCGACCTCACCGTGGCTACCGCAGCCGCCGCCCTAGTCTTGTTGAATTTGATCGCCACAGCTTATGACTACTTCAGAAATCAAAATGACAAACGTAAGTCAACCAAAATGCACAAATAGATTTTACTCCACGGACTCGAACAGGCTGCGAGCTGACAAAGGCGCGTCTGGTTTAAATGAAGCATTACATTACTGTTTTGGNCGGACTCCGTCGACCTCACCGTGGCTACCGCAGCCGCCGCCCTAGTCTTGTTGAATTTGATCGCCACAGCTTATGACTACTTCAGAAATCAAAATGACAAACGTAAGTCAACCAAAATGCACAAATAGATTTTACTCCACGGACTCGAACAGGCTGCGAGCTGACAAAGGCGCGTCTGGTTTAAATGAAGCATTACATTACTGTTTTGGTCTAACAATCGATCGTGTTATCAATTTACGAACAGAACAATTAGTTATTGAATCTGACAATCGCCCATCACTGACCGCCCGGTCGACGTTTGAATTAGAGATTAGAGTCGCGCGACCCTGTGCGAAGGCAGTGAATAAACACAAGCAAAACTATTCATCAGATTACTTCTAATACGTACAAGGTTAAATCTGTACGGTAATTTTTCAATCGTTTTTAATATTAAAATAATTAATTCGGTGTAGATAGACTACGACAACAAACGTCGTATATTCATTTTAACGCCATTGGTAAAAACGTACATCTCTTGATACATTTTTAAAGACTTTTGTATAAAAATAAGTAACTTAAGTACTTCGGTGACCCGACAGGGAAAATGATTTGAAATAACGTACATATGAGTCGACTATTATCAAAGCCGGCAATCTGACTTTTGGACAGTGATTGGTAAATCAGAAAAACGAATTTTTGACTTTGTATTCCATATTCCATTGGCAGTCACAAAACTCTTCGGAACGACATCTTAGATAAATAACAGGTTAACTATTAACCTTTATTTAGTGCAGGTTTTGAACCGTATTCTTTGAAGAAGATTTTATTCAAATTTTTTGAGTTTATATTCAAATCAATCTGTATTGACATATCAATAAATTTTTTTTGTCCAAATGCACAGATTGCCACCTTTGATAATAGACGACTCATATGTAAGCACATACTTAACCAAATGTTTTGACGCTAAATTAGTCAGTGCACTAATTTTTCATAATTCACAGCAAATCGGTATCTCATCACTTGGTCTCTGATCTCTAATTGGAACCGCCTGACCGCCGACTACGCTGACGGAGACCAGAAACTTGCAGCGCTGAAGCCACTTCATGGTGTAAAGTAAGCACGCTCTAATTGATTTGACATTAATTTAAAAATTTCCAAGACTGAAAACCTGACTGTATTGTTACCTGAAAATTTCTCGACCGGTATCTCGAGTAATAAAAATGCAATAAATGAGTTTAATGCAATTAATTACCGTGTGAATTTAAAGGTTTTAATTTAAAATAAGAGAGAAACTGCGCATGCGATACGGGGCGGTAAGTGATATCGGCGTCTGTGTGTTCCAGAACCTTGACACTGGTGTGCATCATGCTGGCGCACACCGTGATGGCCTTCCACATGATCTACCTTCTCAACCCACACTTCTTAGAAAAGGTAGGCTAGAACGATTTTCCGGTTTCAATGGTTTAGGCAGACTAGAGAGAGAGCATCCACCGGTGCAGTAGTGAGGCCCAGCTACGAGCAGTCACACTTCGTCCTGTGAATCTCTCGTGAGCACGACGTACGTTATGTTCGGGATAGAGATTAGCTCCCAAGAGAAGTAAATGTGAAGCTACAGATCTTGAATATTTCTGTCCGCAGAACAGCCACCACCCGGCGTCAGCGTACCTGCAGAATGGAACGTGCGTAGTCCACACCTTCGTCCTGGCGTCCAGCTTTCTTCTGACGTACAGCCTGCTAATTTCTGAAGACAAAAATCCAAAAGAAAAGCTCAACGTTCGTTTACTGCCGAAAATTTTGGTGCATCGGTACATCCGGTGAGGCAATCAATTAGCCTTGATCCTATTTTTACTTCAACGTGCAGCCTGCATCGAGTGGAGAGTGGTCATCGTCATCTCGACGAAACAGTGATGCCGGGAGAACAGCCGCTTCCTACCGTAGAACACTTCTGGTGGTTAGGGTTTGGAACAGCTGATGNAGCTCAACGTTCGTTTACTGCCGAAAATTTTGGTGCATCGGTACATCCGGTGAGGCAATCAATTAGCCTTGATCCTATTTTTACTTCAACGTGCAGCCTGCATCGAGTGGAGAGTGGTCATCGTCATCTCGACGAAACAGTGATGCCGGGAGAACAGCCGCTTCCTACCGTAGAACACTTCTGGTGGTTAGGGTTTGGAGCAGCTGATGTACCTGAACTCCCCACCACCGATGCTCGGCCCAGCGCAGGCATATAGCAGCAGGTTTGAGACTAGACTCTGGGTTGCCCCATCATGACTCATGCGAACGTGATATTCGCGGAAGCAGCGACACAGACTCTGAGCAGGCATCACATGGGTCACCAAACTCGTTAAACAGTTCGACGTGAAACTTAGGCTATAGCATCATCCCGCTAAGTTTCTCGCCACACTCTCTCAGCGGGTCGCGATTCCGATAGGACACCAGATGAATTCGCGAAGTAGCTGCACTTAAGCTGTCAGATCTGGTTTGGGTGCGCTCATGCAACTGGTAGCCGCCACGCGGCTGCCCGAGCCCGCGCTCGCCCACTGTCCTGGCTAAGTTGGAAAAGCCTTCGGGCCACCAGTCATCCATCCTTAACCAAGTCTTTCTCTATCGATATCTTCTTGCGCAGCGTTCACGCGAGCGGATGTGTTTTCCATGTTGTGTCGACTGTCATTAGTTCGTTGATTAGTTAGTAATTAGGAACTTTATTGATTTGTGTCCACGTATTTAAGTGCTGTAATAAATTTATTGATTTCTTAAATTAGATTGGATATGCAATACGTATCATTAGTATTGCCATTTTGGATTGCCATTATGTATGTAGGTGCCCTCGTCACTTTCAATTGCACTCGGTTGTTCTGTGTCCAATCTATACTTTAATATTATAAAGCTGAATACTTAGTTTGTTTGTTTGAACGCGCTAATCTCAGAAACTACTGATCTGATTTGTATTAGCCCATTTATTGTGGAAGGCTCTATAGGCTATATAACATCACGGTAAGACCAATACAAGTGGAGAACCAATAAAGAATGTTTCAAAATAGGGGTTTAAATAGCTCTTTAACATTCTATAATTCAAAAATATTTTCACACAACGTAAATGAAATGGGGAGTAAAATTTAGCGTTATGCCAAAGTAACTATTCCACGCGGACGGAGACGCGCGCAAAAAGTAGTGAATTATAATTATGTATTTCCGTTTCAGTATAAGCCCACTGTACCTGTTCGTGCTAGGGGTCACGGCGACGTGGTGGGTGCGGTGGGGGGACGGACCCCAGTGGGCGCCGCTGGTGGGGCGCGAGCGCGACCTCTGTCGGCGCAAGTGGTGGACGCATCTCCTCTACATTAGTAACTTTGTCTGGCCTGACGATCGATGCCTGATACACACTTGGTAAATATGACACGGACAGCATCATGCCGACTCCGCATTTAGCAGTGGGCCTACTGCTCGAATACCCTGTAGGGCTTCAGTTGATCTCGTAAGGTCTCATTGTATGTGTAGTGAAGTATGCATGACGCCGAACAATAGCACACCACCGGCTACTGGAGAAAAGTGAACTCATTTAAGTTGAAACGGGCCGATTGAATTTTTTTATAAAACGTTCATAGAAGTAAAGAATCCTCTGTATTTTTTCTAATAAATGGTACGTATTGGGAGACCACACGAGTAGGTGCCACTATTCTGGCCAGTTTCTCTGCGAAGCAGCCATACGTGAGACAACCGTCATACAATAGAATTGAGATTTCGAATTCGACGCTCAAGGTGAGTAGTGAGTGTCTCCATTGACATTGTGATTTCTGCGGGCTTCAGTAACCACTTAAGACCGGGTGGGCCGTGAACTCGTTCATTTATCTAGCCAGTATTAACAAAAACAGACAAGGTTAGATGTGAGCGCACCGCCGGAGGACCGCAGAGTCCATTACATTTACGGCGAGAAATCAACAAAAGTTCTTGAATTTAGACTATAATGAATAGTATCTGCATCGTGTCCAGGTTCCTGACGGTAGACATGCAGCTGCACGTGGTGTGCTGCGCGGTGGTGCTGTCTCTGGGCCGCAACACGCGGCGTGCACTGCTCGCGCTCGGGGCGCTGCTGGCGGTCGCGGTCGGGGCCAATTTCGCCGCCATCTATCACTTCGAGCTTCGGTCGATAGCCACACTCATGTTTCCTGAGTAAGTCCTACTGTTGATTAGGAACTCCGTCCGCCTACCTACTGACTAGAGATTGAAAGTTTTTATGATAGGCGCGGCGTGGCTCTGCATACAGTTGTGCTCGGCGCTACAGGGAAGATTCCTGACACAGCAAAATGGTGTGTCAGGAATCTTTCCTGTAGCGCCGAGCTACAATAGCAATAAATGCATGTCGACAATCGAAGGATGTCAATCAAAAGTTTGCGATGGGCATCTTAATATAGAGGCAAATATTTAAAATATGTACGGTTTCTGGGCTGATCATAGTAGGTAATCACCACAGATTATAGAAACACAGTATTGTTGTGTTTCTATGGTCTGTGGTAATTACATACTAATAACTAGCGTGCTGAAATATAATTTAGATGTTGTAATAAGCTACAGCGACCATATCTACAGTGGTGCATGTCCAGAATTCACCTCCTCATTTTAAATACGCTCAGGTACATCCGGGTCCAGTTCGAGAGCGAGAGATCGTTCAAGTGGCTGTACGTGGCGCCCTGGGACGCGCTGCCCGCCGCGCTGTTGGGCGCCCTGCTGGCCCACGTGCACGCCGCGGACTGGGGGGGCCGCAAGCCCGGCGACAGTCTGGTGAGTTCCTTCATGTACCTCCTCCTTGTTGACCTGCACTGAGAGAGTCCTCCGTGCCAGCGTCCCACACAAAACTTTATCAAGAGACTATCGAAATTGGGCACTCGAAGACATTTTATATAACGTGCAAACGAAATCATAATATAATATTTTAATATAATTAAAAACCAATATTCTTTGCTAAGAATACGTTACACAGCATTTGTCATAACGTGAACTCGCGCTGACTTCGAGCGGCACTTGATGCTGTGTTACACTGCGCGCTCAGCAACCGGTGCATAGATGGAACTGAAATTTCAATCTTGTATATCAGAGTAGGCAACAACATCCACGACCACTATTGATTTGAAAAGAGACTTCGGTAACTGTTCCTATCATCGCATAAATACGCATTTGAAAGCTTTTTTTTTATTGCTTGGGTAGGTAGACGAGTTCACAGCCCACCTGGTGTTAAGTGGTTACTGGACCCCATAGACATCTATAACGTAAATGCGCCACCCACCTTGAGATATAAGTTCTAAGGTCTCAGGTATAGGTACACAGGCTGCCCCACCCTTCAAACTGAAACGCATTACATACTGCTTCACGGCAGAAATAGGCAAATAATAATAAAAAAGATATTGATGGGACAGGTCTCAAACTTGAATCATGTTGTCACACGACTATCCCTGGCGGGGCGCAGCTCACCCACCTCTCATTTAAACATTTACAGATAGTCCGCATCTTGTACCGTCTCTCTGTGCCGCTAATGGTTGGGTGGGTCCAGGCTGGGTACTGGATGAAGAACTCCACAGACCCTGTGCTCTCCGCTCTGTACGCGACGTTCGACCGCCCGATATTCTGCTCCATCGTCGCTTTTGCTATATTCGGTTTCATAAACAAGTTTGATAGTGAGTATAATGGTTTTATTGCTAGTGAGAGCAAACGAACAGGGGAAAAATGACATCAAGAGGTCATTCATTGCCTTTTCATGAACTTTATTTAATTGTTAATCTCGCAAACGTAAACGACGTAGTACTCTTAAGTCTTGGGAGGAAATGAGGTTAATTGTGTATGAGAAGCTTCCGTCACCTTGGTCCGATTTTTATCGAGTTCTCTATGTATCACCACAAGCACCTGCGTTGCGGAAGGTCGAGGAGAAAGCAGGATGACTTTGAATTCTGAATAAGAAAAGTCTTGCTCCAAAAACGTGCCAATGGGAACCGAAGGAACGGCTGTACAGGCTTAAAATACCCGTAATATTAATTAGTAGAGTGGTATTCATGATTATTAGAACCCATAAGAAGCAAGATGAACGGTTTTCAACGTCAATATCATCGTCTTCTAACACACTGCTAGCGAGCTGTGCGGGTGGCCGCTGCGTCCCCCGCGCAGCTCCTGACGCAGTCTAATGTTTAAGGTCTGTACTGGAAGTTTTTGTCGTGGCGCGGCTGGGAGATATTGGGGCGCATGTCCCTGACGGCGTACTTGGTGCACTGGCTGACGACGCTCACGCTGGTGGGCAGCCTCGACTTCCTCGCGCCGCTCTCCATCATTAATATTGTAAGTACAGAGAGACCGCGAAGCTGAAGTATTCCAGATAGTCTGTGGCACAATTACGGCACAATTTATAGTGAAAACTAAAACTAAAACTATAACTTATAGTCAATAATAATTTGCGCAGGAGTTGCCGCCCCTTTTAACATGTCCTCTGCCTGAAGAACAATAGATCAAAGCGTGGCCATCTTGTGTCTTTACCACTTCGACAAATAAGATGCGCCGGCGACATGTTGCAGGGGGCGTGGTTTTAACAGTCTTTGCACATGGCACTCGGATCACCTGATGTGACGTAAAATCGTATGATTTCTGTGCTGCGTTGAGATATGCGAGTTGACTTGCCCACTCGCCACAAAGGTACCGGCCCATCTAGTGTTCGGCAACTTTCAGTGTCCTGTCCACTCGAAATTACCACCACCAATTTCCTCTTTAACTGGAACGCGCAATTGGTTCAATTATTTGTGGTGAACTCGAGCTGTAGCTAGTAAATCGGATGGACGGGTATGAGGATAGTACTTGACCGATCACTGATGAGAAGTAATCGCTAAAGAGTTCGCTCGATATGACCAAAGCTGCACTTGTTTAACGATTTTTGAACGAAAGTTATGGAAGAAAGAAAAATAACTGGCTCTATTCATTAAGGTCCATCTGATCGAAGACTTATTAGCTGTAGTATACTATCCATTCCCTGTACATCGACTATGATTGCCTCTTGGCCTCTTGGCACGAGTGAGCGGCACCTTCAAATTCTTATCGGCTAATTCGTCTAAAGGACTCAAGGTTTACAACAGGTTTTTTTTCCAGGGCGGATATTGGCTGTGCACGATTGTGTTGACCTACATGATATCAGTGCCGCTGCATTTGTTCGTGGAGCTGCCAATACACAGATTTCTACGAGTCATTTTTTCATAACACTGCTGTAACATCATTTTATACCTATTAAAGTTATGCCCAGAAAACAACCTAGGTCTTCAAATTATAAGATAGTGATGAATAACGTTTTTGTGTTGAATTTTGAAGTTGAAATTGTTGGTCTTTAATAAAAATATCAAACAGTACGACGATACTTAGCACGTAGGTAATTGCCGAGCGTGGTTACAAAGCCCTCGTGACTGAATCATCTTTGCTCATGAACATCAGTCATTCCAGAGGCACTGCCAAACCACTGCCGACCCCGACAGCTCGAGTTTGATTAAATAACAATGAGTTAAATTTTTGTGAAAATATAAATCTCTGTACTTACGTGTACTTTTACTTTCCTGCTTCCTACTATACCCTACCAAGTATTATCTATTTATTATGCATTCGTAGATGAGTGAGGCGACTGAGTGAAAGTGATGGTGGTCATGGTGTGGGTGATGGTGTGTTTCACTAGACGTCGTCATTTCTCGTGTACTGTGATCTTTCTTGTGCACTAGTTAACAGGACCGTTTAGATGGTCCACCGTAACTGTGATTTGCCGTGTGGTTTTTTACATGCCTTGTAGTACAAAGCACAATATAATTGAGGATACAAGATCGCGAAGAAGGGTAATACTGAGACTTTATTTCATCCAATATCATCTCATTTCATTTGATTTCATACCAATTGATTACAGTCTCCAATATATCAACTCCACCTCACTTCATCCATATAATTTTTCCCTCCCTCTCTTTAATAAAAAAACAGAAATTTAAAGATTAGGCTGTATGTTGTGACACTTTCGCCTTTCCTGTTGCAAAATGAAACAACCACAACTGAGAGTTTTAATCATAGACAATACACTTAACTTATTTCAATGTCAGCCAGCAAAATGTCACAGGTGACGTTTTAACAATAACCTTCGATAATAAAATTCGATTCGTTTGCTTGCTATTTTTTTGCAAGCTGGAGTTTTCCATTAGGACTTGTGTTTTATAGTGGCATATAGAGTTATATAACTAGGCATACAGTTTGAGTGATAGTATAGTACAAATTAACGTGATGGGAAGTCATCAAAGTCATGATAAAGCGGACGGGAGTGGGAGCGGTACGAGTACACCCCGAGGCTCCCAGCGGGGTGCCGGGTCGCGATCAGGCTCCGGGGGTGACCTGCAGGGGCTGGCCGAGCGACAAGAGAAGCCTCCACTTTCTATGGTGCCAGTTGAGAAACTAGGAAAAGTAAGCGCGTCAATCTATTTGCGTAGCTATGACGTTAACTCGTTTGTTTTGTTTCGTCAGTGATATATAAATTGGCGGTGATCTGCAAATAAAGCACTCGTGACACACGCTCTCTACGGATGATGGTATATTTTATCATACAATATAAAAAATATTACCACGAGGTTTTAATATAAAAAAAAACATAATTAACACGCGCACAATTACATGTCACTATTAAGTCCACGTTTTATATAAGTTTACATCAAGAAATAAAAACGAACCATTTAGCCTAATAGTACTGTAAATAAAAGCAATAAATCCATGGAAGACATCCTAAGCTATTTAATTAATGTGTAGATCATTGACAAGATTAACAATGCTTCATTGATTCCACACTACTGGTGGAAGGATCTCTTGTGAGTCACGGGTAGGTATGGTGGGGCCCTGCCTATTTTTGCCGTGTTTGCAGTTATGTGTTTCAGTTTGAAGGGTGGGGCAGCAGTTGTAACTATACTTGAGATCTTAGAACTTATATCTCAAGGTGGGTAGCGCATTTACGTTGTAGATGTCTATGGGCTCCAGTTACCACTTAACACCAGGTGGACTGTGAGCTCGACCAAAAATAAAAGAAAACAACGACAACAACAAAGAGGCCTTTAGAATTAAAAGTTCAAGTATTTTGACAAAGGCTTGGCTTATATATTCTTCAATTTAAATTATAATGAATTTATTTCTACTAGTGTAAATAACTATACAGGTTTTCAGTCTGTCAGGTGCAAAGTAGTTATCATGAACTGCCACAATCTTATTAGAAGAGCTCACTACAACGTGAGTTCTAAATCACGATGAAGTAGGTTTTGAACCACTTAAACCCAACAATCCTGTGTGATTACTCCTATCTATAACAATTGAAAATTACACTAATGAATGACTATAAATTATTATACTCATACCAATTGTTAGAAAACAATAGAACCACAACTTATGAAAATCCAAACGAAATGAATCAACGTAGACTATCAAGTAAATAATATTTATCCAAGTAAAGGTGGTGATCACAAAAATATAGATATATGTGTGTATATTGTGATCTAATAAATAAAATAATAATGACTGCCTTATTTTCAAATTAATTTTGAGGCTAAAACTTGTTTCTAAAAAAGCGATATATCAATGTTTCACATCTACTCTTTTTATTTCTAACTGCCTTCATTATACTTGGTGTTACCTTCTGAGTTACAACACTATAATTATACCACGATTTATAATAGAACTTTCTATCAATAAAAATTTCTTTTTAATGGCTTTTGACGTTCAAACTCAGTGAGGTTTTTCATGGTAGTAATAGCGAGCTAGCAAACTCCTGGCCCAACAGGAGCTAAGCAGTCTATAGAAATCACAAGATGAATGCAACAATCTGCTTAATTTCAAAGACTAATTGTATTGTGTATTGGCATGACAATCCCTTGGCTTCAACACACCCTATTACCAGTATTATTATTACAATAAAAACTGCAAGCTAAGACCTAACCTTGCTAAATTCTTATTATAGAAGGAAGTGCAGGCATATCAGCCTGGTCTGGCCTCGTAACACGCATATGTTACAGTGTAGTGTTACTATAAAACATGATAATTGATTCATCATGACAAGGAAAATCACTACTTGCGTATTAAGCATTTGTGAAATTGAATTTTTGTTTGTTTGTTTTTATTTTAGTGCCATTATCTTTCTTATAATTCTTATATTATGAATAGCACTAGAATCTCAACAAATGATAAGTGCTTACTGAGATCCTTAATCAACTATACTACTGTTACTAGGGGCAGCTGTACTACCTGCAAAACTAGAACATTTTAATGTGTAAACAACAGTTGTATGAATGTCAGTAGCTGTAGCTCGAGGATACCTTTTTTTTTTCGGGCCGGGTCCCGAACCTCCTACTAGGTCCCCGTGCATAGGGGGCGCGCGGGGTATGTGGGACTCAATGATCTGCAAGGTGCTGGAAGCAGACCGCGGGCCCAAGGAATTTTAGGGCCCACCCACTAAACGACTCCCCTGCACTCTTACACCTGACGTGCGATCTCCGTTCGTTGTCAAAACCCGATCAGAGTAGGGGGGTTCCCGCGGTCAACACTACAACCAGACACGCGGCGCCACCCCGAGGACGCCCGACCGACGGGTTGTAGAGGCGATAGTCGACGACCAACGACGTCGGTCTCCGCGGTACCGATGCCGCTGGTGTTCCGGGATACCCCACTGGGCCAGAACCAGCCTGCCGGGACGGAATGCGATACACCGCCGACCGGGTTGCTCTCCCACAGTATGTTCGCCGACGACAGTGACGACGAAAATGCGGACCGCATCGCAATCCGCAGCCGCCGACGCGTCGTCCCGTCCTCCTGGTGCCGGCGCGCTAGAGTGACGGTAACGTGCGGCGCAGTCTCAACCCCCTTAGGTCGCCCCGTGACCATCACCGGGAAGAGACTGCCACCTCATAGGGGCCAGAGCTGGACGAACGCCCTCCTCAGACCCCCGGCTCGGCGGCGGCGGCAAGGCGCCGAGATGGAGGAAGAGTTCTCCCTCTCCCGTTCCGCCGCCTCTTTCTGCGAGATGGTGGACTCGCAGAAGTCAAGCATCGCCTGCCAGGACTCGTCGCTGCCGAGCATCGTAGCCACGATGGTCGGAAGCGACAAGTCCGGTCCTATTTTTGCAACGAGGACGCGGCGCTGCAGTACGCGAGCGTGTGCTCCGCCGTGTCCTCGTTGCAGCCACTGCAGTGGTGGCACTTCGGCGTTGGCTCCCTCCGGGCGACGAGGTGCAGGTAGCGACCGAAACGGCCGTGTCCCGTGAGCACCTGCGTCGCTCGGAAGGCGAGACGTCCTCGGTCGCGATTCACCCAGTCCGAGAGGACCGGGCGGATCGCCTCGACGGTCCGTCGCCCGTAAAGCTCGAGGATACCTTGACCTAACCTCACTCAGCCACCAATTTTTAAATAACATGTAATACAATACACTACCACCTTTTCTTCCAAAATTGTCCATGGCAATATATGTCACATTTTTTTTTTATTTATTGCATATAAGAGTGGACGAGCTCACAACCCACCTAGTATTACCTGGTTACTGGAGTCCATAGACATCTATAAAGTAAATGCCGCCACCCACCTTGAGATATGAGTTCTAAGGTCTGAATATAGTTTCAACGGCTGCCCTACCCTTCTAACTGAAACGCATTACTGTTTCAGGGCTGAAAAAGTCAGGTTGGTGGTACCTAGCGGACTTACGAGAATAATTTTTTTTGGGGTTATCATACATCAATATAATTTTTAATATTCGCTAATTAGTCGCAGTAATAAAAATCTTTTCATAGAACGTACTGGCATGCGGGCAGAGGACAAAAATACCACGACAACACACAGCCGTAAAAATACTATCATATCTCTAGATAAAGCTGATTTCCGTGAATCCCCTCAAACATGACATGATGGATCTGGCTATTAATCCATGTTAATCTATTTAACCAAGATATCTGTGATAGTTTGATACGCTTTTGGGCTATTTGTGGGAATATAAACAGTAGTTTTCTCATGTGTTCATAATCGACTTTCATAATGAAAAAGGAAACTTGGTTTCCCTGATGATTGGCGGAAACGAACCGATATTATACGGTCAGGGTCAACGGTTCCGTGGCTTGTGTAGCGACGGTCAGCCTCACATAGCGGCCTCACGGAATATGATCATCTTAAATCAAACGTTTCTCTTGTGACGAACTGGACGCACGTCCTTACAAAATTTCCTTTTTTTCCACTTTATTTTTTTTCAAATTTACGTGCGATTTACATAAATTTGGAATGTCGTTTTCCCTCGAGCCCCTGCTTTCTTAACGATTGTTCTCAATGGCGAAACTGCACTATCTATCCGCCGATAAAGTCATGACGATTTATAAACTCCTACAATGGCATACTTTGATAAAAAAAACACGCAGTAACTCTTTTTATATATATTCTTATTATTAGTGTCTGCCAAGGAATGCTTAGTAAGCATAGATTCAGCCGCTACCATTGCCACGAGAAACAATAAAAATAATATATTAAAAAGTTTTTTTGATTTTGCCGAACACCAAACAATCACAGTTTTGAAAATAATTTGTAGGCAGCGGCTTGGCTCTGCCCCTGGCATTGCTGACGTCCATGAGCGACGGTGACCACTTTCCATCAGGTGGGCCGTATGCTCGTCTGCCTACAAAGGCAATAAAAATAAATAAAAATAAGACTTACCAGCAGGATAAGAGAATCACTGGCAGAGATACTTCATAAGCTACATCTTGACTCTTGATTATTTTTTCTATAACCTAATCTTTATTTCCACGTATGCCATTTAGTACGCATCTCGCATTCATCGTCCATTAAAATACGAACGGATGGATAGATCGTATCACCCTGACGAATTTTAATAATTTATTTAAACATTAATTCATTGTTGGTACCGAAAGAAATCTTATCGGCGAAATCTGGTGATAACACTGATTTTACGATTTATTTGTTTTCAATTTGTATTGTTCAGTCAGTAGTTGACAGGCATCATGTCGGATACGAAATATAGGCACCTAGAAAAATGGGTGCCACCTTTCAAGAGTTTAAGATATTCTATAGTTGGCATACAGAGGAGTAAGGTCACGAGGAGGAACACTGCCGCTCCTACCTGTAAGGTGTGTAAATGTCCGATGGCTGAGGGAATTTACGATTCTGGGTGTTGATGAAAGTTTCGTGACCACGCTCGGGATTTATGAGGGTGCCATTTCCATTTGAAATGTTTTCAAAATAAATTAGTTCTTGTGCACGAACGAAGGTGAATTCGTAATGTGTTGTCACCGGAAATAGGGTAAAGGCGAGTTTTCCTCACATTCATTATTTCAGACCGTAGTTTGTAAGGTTTTCCTGACAGGCTTGGCCTTCAAGAAGCACGAACAACTTTTACGTTTATAGTGTTAGTACAGGTATTATTATTTCGTTTTTTACCGATCTATTGCAGACATCCTTGTTGCCTATCTGGTGTTATGTGGTTGTCTTCTTGTCGGATCTTCCAGATCCACTCTCGTTGTTTTTAGGCTCTTCTAGAACCGTCTGCGTCGTAATCGACGAGCGAACTAACCCATAGACACAGCCCACTGAGTTTCTCGCCGGATCTTCTCAGTGGGTCGTGATTCCGATCCGGTGGTAGATTCAACGAAGTGCTGCTCTTGCTAGAGCCAGTGTTAGCACATTCTTTCAGGTTGAACCCCGTGACCTCACCTACCAGTCACAGCGCATATAGCCTAAGGCTATCAGCGAATGGCTAGGCAACAAAAGTGGTTATGGGAACCTATAGACGTATAAGTATGACTGAATTCCAGGACCAAGAAGGACGTCGCAGCCACATCACTGACAAACAATAAGCACACAAACAGTGATGCCGTTGACTTTGAGTCCTTTGGCGCAGTTATATAAAACGAATCTCTAAAAGTAAATCCGTTTTATCTAAAACGTCCAAATTATTTTTAATTCATTGATTGATATAATTCCTTATCAAGTGACTAATGCTCCCTCGTCGGTCATTGCATTTAATTAAATGATATAAATGAAGTAGGTACATACTTTTGTAAGCCCGTTTGTCGCGTTGTTTAAAGTTTGGTGCAATTTTGTTATTACTTTCATTGAACACATTTTTCCTTTCGTGGTTTATGAATACATTCGTATTTTAGAGCTTTGACAAAATATGTGATAGATACTAGGTTATTTGTTTTTATCTTTTTATTTCGTGAAATTTGGAATCTGTACTGTAGGTACGACTACTTATAAAACATTTTCAATCAAGACTTTTCATTTAATTTCAAATCTTAATGTTTGTTTTTCGTACAGTTTGGTGTACGTATGATTAAGTTTGAAATAACGTGGTATTGTTGGGAGAGCGTAAAACCTTAATTGTAATTTTGTCACCATCATCATCAGCCCTCGGACGTCCACTGCTAGATGTAGATCTCCTCCAAGGTTGGCATTATGACCGGGCATGCGGTGCCTACATCCAGCGGATTTCCGTACCATTTACCAAATCATCGGTCCACCTTTTGTAATTTAGCACAAGATAAATATGTAGTCGATTGTGAAACGGCTCACTCCTTCAGAGTCGGAAAGTTGGTTAAAAAATACATTTTATGAAAAACTAAGTTAGTTTTTAAAGCCACTAATCCAACTGATGTATCTTTGTTGCCTTCATTATGTCGTTTCAGTCCAAACAGCGTAACCTTATCTTTCAAGAAACTTGGACGTGCGTTACAAATAAGTAAGGCTCCCGGTAGATCCAAAGCGATCATATCGTAGTGCGGGGAATGTATCTGCCAAAATAGTGGAAATTACTAAAATGACTTTTTTTTATTATTGCTTAGATGGGTGTTATGGGTGGGATGGGTATTAGTTGGGATGTTAATTGATTACTGGAGCCCATAGACATCTACGACGTAAATGCGCCATCCACCTTGAAATATAAGTTCTAAAGTCTCAAGTATAGTTACAACGGCTGCCCCGCCCTTCGAACCGAAACGCATTACTGCTTCACGGCAGAAATAGGCGGGGTGGTGGAACCTACTCGCGCGGACCACAAGAGGTCCTACCACCAGTAAAAATTAACTATAATTATAAGTAATAAATTTATAAATTTTCCAGTTATTGGCACAAATATCACAGAAAGAAGATGGGATCAACGGAGTCACAGAGAATTCTTTTAAGGTGAGTAAACATCATTGGCTACCTAGTTATACTCCAACCGTTCTACTTCCAGATCGATAGTCAGTGAACCTTGAACTAGAATATTAGGAGACGCGGGCCACCCGTCCCCTGACTATATCCAAGAATCTCAAACGACAAGGACAATATTTCTGTTAAAGATATTCGGCGTTCCTGTTGTTGTCTCGTATCTGTGCCCACATATTGCATTGCACAAGTCCCTTGTCGCTTAACAACACGTGCCTCTGATGATACAGAAGTTAACCTAAGTAGCCACGCCAGATACAAATGTCCTGGGCTGAGAGCATGTCCCCGCCAACCTACATGTGGGTAGCACGTGACGTCAAACTAATACATACATCCGGGATATCCAGCTGGGTCCGAACCAGCGTGATTCGGGAATTCGTCAGCCAATTTCACTTTCGTTAAACGCGTGAATCGCAGCGTCGCTTCCTTTGATCTCCCTTGCCAGTCCCCAAACTGGAATATGAAGGGGATTATAAAAACTTTACAAGTCCAATTTTTTCTATGGAATACCAGAGAACCGTATATTTTATTGGTGAATATAGGCAACGGGTCCATGGCTCAAAGACATGTATCCTCCGACCACTGAATACCGGATGTCCTGTCGCTATAAAATTTATAAGTAAACGTAGGTATATATATTTTCTAGAAATACTTATTCCCGATGTACCCGGAGCTGGCACACCACTTCTACAAGTACATCCACAGAATCGGCAAGTGCAAGAACAAACACATACCTCTGTCTACGTTCAGAATGCAGTGCGAGAAGATACTCAGCATGCTAGACGACGCGGTCATCATTGAGACATACGTCAGGTACGGCCGTGTGGTTTCGTCTCGTGGACTCCACCGATCTGTTCGTTAAGACAGTAATTTTGTCTTTTTCCAGAATGTTCAGTATGGAAACAGACGAGAATAACATGACACCAGACGGTCTCAGGAACATGCTATACACCAGCTACAAGTTGTCCATGGACCACTATCCAGAAGGACCACAAACTTGTCTCATGGTAAGGTCAGATCATTCAAATATAGATAATAATAATAATAATAATATATCACACCACCAAAATTTACTTTTTAAAAAAAATACAAGATTAGCAACGACTATGTTATTGTAGACTGGATTACAATAATGTATAACTGATAAAAAGATTAATTATGTATAAACAGATGAAAGTAAATGAATAAATACGTAGAAAATATTAAGATCGTGTTAGAGATTCAGCTGAGATGTCAAAACGTGTCATCCCCACCACCGGCTCCACGAAGAGCCACCGATCTTTTAATGTGTGTATAAAAGTACTCGCGTGCGGTCGTCGCTATGGTCCCCGGCCACACAAGGGTGGTTGGCGGGAGGGAGGGATATGTTTCAGTGCTTAGTGCGGTTTTACGTGATTTCACAGATCAATCAGACGCTATCGGCCGTGGTGGACGGCTGCTTCAACAAGAAGGACGTGCACAGCGTCGGCTTCGTGGTGCGCTGGCTCGAGGAGCACTGCCACCGGATCATATTCCCGGTCCACAGGTAGGGGACGCACTTACACCACTGTTATACTCTTCTCAGTCGGACACTTTTACTAGAGTGGTCGTGGTTGCGCTGACGATGTACGTGCAGAAGCACCCGTTAGGTCCAATGCACTTCCAGATCTGGTGGTTCGAACTGTTACAATACAGATATTGTAAAATGTAAGGTACCCGACGTGTCTGCCGCAGGTACTGCGTGCACCTGCTGGCGACGCGGCACCGCGACATGGAGGCGCACGTGGAGTCGCGCGGCGCGGGCGCGGGGCTGGAGCTGGCCACGCCGGTGCTGGAGCGGGGCGGGGCGGCGCGGGGCTCGGCGCTGCTGCCGGTGTCGGCCGCGTGGCTGCTGGCCGCCGCCGCGCCGCCCCGCTACTCGCGCCCCGCCGCGCCGCCCGCGCCCTCCGCCGGCTGGCTGGTGGCGCGCCTGGTGTGCGCCGTGCCCTCGCACTGGACGCCGCTCTACTCCAGCTCCGACCAGGGCCTGGCCGCCAACAGGTACGGCACCAGCGGCCTCGACACCCATCATTTACTCACTGCCCAATGTCTTATTTTAAGTTGTTTCTAAGAAGAAATGTGAACAGTCAGGCTGGCGAGCGACCTGAGAGCTGAGTAAGTCCAGCTCTGATATTTCGCCAAGTGGTCTTAGTTTGGAATTGAATTGTAAATGTATAGTTCCGTACATGTCGGTGCAGCAGCTCCCCGCTCCCGCCGAACGTGGTCACCCCACATAGACGCGCTAGATCAGCGGTCGGGGAACCGGGGTAAATTATCCAAAATGGGGTATAATGAAATTTTGGGGGGTAAAAATTAAACTTTTGTGACTAAAACATATACGTATATATTGAAGTGAAACTTCTTTGGAATCGTTGTGATTTCAAATTCGATGAAACGAAATGAAACGAAACAAAAAAATTCAAAATGATCACGGGAGCTATAATATGAAAGATGCTAGAAAGAAGTGATTTTGTTTTTTTTTTGTTCTTCGGCATGGGGTAATGTCAACTCACACAAAAATATTTTGGGGTAATAATTAAAAAAGTTCCTCGACCGCTGCGCTAGATCAATCTCGACCAGGTTTTAGTGGTCTACGGGTCCAGCCTGGCACCGGCCAGGCGTGGTTCCGCAGCCACTGGTTGCTCGGTGTTGAGAAGTGAAGTGTAAATGACCGCAGGTTCCTGCACCACACGCTGGCGTACCGCGGCCCCACCGTGGTGCTGGCGCGCGGCGGGCCGCTGCTGGTGGCGCTGTGCTGCCCCGCGGAGTGGCGCGACTCGCACTGCTACTGGGGGGACGCCGACTGCGCGCTGCTGCAGCTGCTGCCCACGTGCGTACCCGCCGCCCCCACCTCCCCGCGCCTCCCCGCACCCCCCCGCACCCCCGCCACTATGTAGCCGCCGCGTGTGTGTGCAGGTTCTCGCTGATAGAGCGCGCGCCGAAGATGATATACCTGAACACGTCGATCCGCGGCTACCCCAAGGGCCTGCGCGCCGGCTCCGACCCGCGCCGCCCCGCGCTCGCCATCGCAGAGGGCTTCGACTCCTTCACCTTCAACGGCGCGCCCTACTCGCTCGACAGCATCGAGGTACTGCACGCCGCATACTTGCCGACAAGGGGGTCTGGAATTAAAACTACACGATTCATTCGATATTTGTATCTCATCAGGTGTGGGGCTGCGGGGACCAGGCATCGAGGGAAACCCAACTGGAGATCAAAAAGTGGCAAATACGGGAAGCAGAAAAACAAAGACAAGTAAGGATAATAGTTCTCCCAAACGGAGCACCCTCAGCAATACCAGCAGTGTGCTCTCGTTGTACTTTACACAATACTACATCCAAGATCTACCACATCCTCGCAGAGCAACGTGTCTCTAACCCCGCCCTCCCCTGCCACATCACCTAAATATGTAAACTGCTTTAAATGGAAACTGTACATATTCCGCAGGTGAAGCTGTCGGCGGCGGACTGGATGGAGCACCCGGACCGCTACCTGCTGGAGCTGGCGGGCCGCCCGCAGTACAACAACTCCGCCAGCTAGGCCGCGCCCCCTGCGGCTCCAACTGGGAACCGTTGCCGCGCCGACGAACGAAACTAAAATAAAGACTGGAACGTGTAACCGGATACAGCCGAGCGGTAGCCCGAGTATCTGTAAGGATCTTAAAACTTAATAATTTATTAGGTTGGCAACACGCGGCTGTAATATAGTCTGTGGCGATAGACCCCGAAAAATGATAATTCCGCTAATGAATCTGCCAAATGCACCCTTATGTGCCGCGGCGCTCCCGGGGGCCACGCACGCACGCTACTCGACGTGAACTCCGGGCTGTGTCTGTCTGCACGTTACAAAGCAAAACAGTTTGTGGTCAAAAGTGTAAGAATAATACTGCAAATTATACATACGATCTCGATATTGTCCGGACACCGACCTCCCCGCGCTACGACTGCGGTGCCACCGTCCATCACTCGGAGACTGTGAGTCAGGTCGGACAGTCACCATTGCGCGCTAACTAGGGGCTGACTTCGGAGTAGGACAGCCAGCCTTGTTATTAACAAACACCCCACACACAAGACGCAAAATAAAGACGTTAAACCTGATTGTTACAATTTTCATCGAAAATTCTCTACACATCTTATAATATAAAAATAAAATTAAGTAAGCTCTCGTCAGCTGTGTGCGTAATGTGAAGTGTGTGAACTGATATTGCGAATGTTATTGTAAGGAATGATATAGGTGACAAATGTGTAACTTGTCAGGGCCGTTTTGTACTGTGACGTCACGATACGGGCCCGTCGTCGCTCCGTGTGCATAGCTGCTACTGTTGATCAATGGACCAAATTAGATTTAATAAGATTATAATATTTAGTATAGAAGTATTAAGGTAAATTGTAAATTTTTATTTTTGGCATTTTCTTTTGGAATCCTTCGTTTCATGTGTATGGTTTTTTTTTTTCTATTTTAAGTGTCTAATCTCAAAATTATAATCTCCTAAACTGGCATTTTATTTTTTTTAATACCATGGCAATACCCTTCTAAGATAGATATTTTAAAACGCCTACAAAATTGTAAAAGGTACACATAGTACACAACCGGTGACGCTAAGTGCTTCCCGAAATAGGAGGCAAGTTGCGGGTTATTTATAATATTAAAGCGGTTTGTTGTGTCACTTTTAGAACAAGTAAAGTGCCAAAAGTTAACAGAAAATAGTTTTAAACGGAAGTATTACAAAAAATTCAATAGATCAAAAAATAATAAGAATACAATGAATTGCAAGGTAACTATATTTCGGTGGCTTTGGCCGGATTATTGGCCGACTGTTTGTTTCGTTGTTACGCACAGTAGGTAACTAACTATCAAGTAACTATTCATTTTGAAACTGCTATTATTAATAATTTATCTTTTTCGTGTTTATTTTTTTTGTGAATGAGAAATGTAGTTTATTTAATATTGTGTAGATGTTCCTTGTGATGCGTAACTGATTTTGAATGGCCTTGACTTAATAGGTGCTACTGTTTGCTTTACAAAAATATTATATTTTGTGAAAATAAAGAAATAAATTTGAGGAAACCGAGTCTTGTTTTTTCTCGAATTTTGGTGAGACTGATTTGAAACAGCACTATTCAATTTACGATAGTGTCATCGTTGGATGCGGCCCCCGGGCGACGCTCGTGCTGCACCATGTTGCTGGACATTTCACTACCATCACAAACTCATTATCATAACACTTTAATATGTACAGACATTCTAAAGTTATATATATATTTTATTGCTTAGATGTGTGGACGAGCTCACAGCCCACCTGGTGTTAATTGGTTACTGGAACCCATAGACAACTACAACGTAAATGCGCCACACACCTTGAGATATAAGTTCTAAGGTCNCTGCACCATGTTGCTGGACATTTCACTACCATCACAAACTCATTATCATAACACTTTAATATGTACAGACATTCTAAAGTTATATATATATTTTATTGCTTAGATGTGTGGACGAGCTCACAGCCCACCTGGTGTTAATTGGTTACTGGAACCCATAGACAACTACAACGTAAATGCGCCACACACCTTGAGATATAAGTTCTAAGGTCTCAGTATAGTTACAACGGCTGCCCCACCCTTCAAACCGAAACGCATTACTGCTTCACTGCAGAAATAGGCGGGGTGGTGGTACCTACCCGTGCGGACTCACAAGAGGTCCTACCACCAGTAAATTTACCTACATATACGGCAATAGAGCATAAAAGATGGACATTAGAAATTACAACATGGGAAGGACCAGCGGGCAAAAGAAGAAGAGGACGACCAAGGAGCAGATGGTACGACGAAATAATAGCAGCAACTGGAAAAAAATGGAGAAACAAAGCCAAGGATAGGGAAGAGTGGAGCAAGCTGGAGGAGGCCTATACCCGAATGGGGTTCCAAACACAAGTTTATATTTAATTTTGTAATTTTTATTTGATAAGGTGTTTTTTTCTTTTTCTTTCTTTGTTTTTGGAAATAAAATGGGCTTATTATTATTATTATTATACGGCAATAGAGAGGATACGTTCCTAGGAGAAAGTTAAAAAAACATTTAATAACATATTTACTTTAAATAAATAAAAAATAAAATAAAATTCATTTAATTCAGACCCTCTTAAGTCCATATGTTGTAAGTTGAATAATACTTAGAACTATGTTAGTAAAATTAAAATTAAAATTAAAATTAGCAATTAAAACATTTAAACATTTAATTCATAAATCATTTCAATCAATCATTTAAGCATAGTTGTTATATGGTCTATTTTACTTTTTTATTAGTCCATTTGACGATGCGTTTACAAAGATTTCCTTTATATTGGAACCCTTTTTATCAATGTGTCCCACAATGTACCAATTAGATCCACAAATAAATAAATCTTTAGCTGCGAATATAGGAATTGGGTCGGTTTTTTTTTTATCCGCGAATGAAGTAGACCTGAATAAAGAGCTTTTGTACTAAAATTCTAATGATTTTAAGAAGATTAGCAAGACCCTAAGCGTTTGGAACAATTGAATCATTCGTTTGAGAAATTTAAGTCTATGATCGAGATTTTCCCCACAAAAAGTCCATTTATGTGGCAAACCGACTGATCAACATTTTACTACAGATTCATTTTATTGTGAGATAACTTCATTTAATTTTATCCAACACTTACTGAGTTTTGCCTCATCTTTAATTATTTAATTATTATTTTTTTCGTTCCATAGTAAATCTTCAGGGAATATAATTTTATTTCGTTAAAATTATTGTTTCACACAACCAACATGTCTTCGACTTTTCTTGTAAGATATTTTTGGCTTATGAGCTATGGCTCCCTTTGCGTACATGATGGATGATTTAACAAAAAAAAAATAACAGCTGAGAAAACAAACAGAAATTAAAAATTTAAATAACCAAAACTTTATACTATTATGTTCATTTTTGTTAATCGATTGATGCTATTATAATATTTAATGTAATGGCGGTATACGCGGCTCATTTAACACGCAGCTTTCAAGGGACTCCATCAGTTTTTCAAGTGACAGCACAAGAGGCCCTTGGAACTACTTTAAAACCAGCTCTCAGGAAGGTTATTGAAGTAAGTATATCACTATATTATAATTTGTCCATATTCAAGACTATTCCCGTTAATTTCTTAACTAAAATAATTGTTGTGGTCAATTTAATTTAATAGTTAAATAAACTTCAAATTTAAGTTATGAAAGTATTGAGTGTTAGTGACATGAACAACTTGCTTAATGGCCAGGATAGTATGAAACTTAATAAAGTTATACCTCCAGAGGAACAACTATGGTACTTGGTGGATTCTTCGCATCATAATTGTCAAATTCAACCAACATTATACTTAATTTGTTATACTACATTATACAACGGTTACTTACACACAGTCCTAAGACACAATGTAGAATATAACTTAATTTTTTTAATTTGTTTTAAATGAGAATGTAAAATTTGAAATGATTTCAGTATTTATCAGTGCTGTACCCTAACAAATGCAGCTGGTGCACTCATTGGTACGATGAACTGTATTTGCTGTTTGATTGTATAGTGCAGTACAATTACCTTAAATATTATGGTAATTCCGATTTAATTTATTATATTTTAGTCTTATCCTTTAAAATAATTATAATCTTTTAAAAAACTTTTTTTAATTTTTGTATTTTTTAAGCTACTTTTCATAAGGTACTTTTTTTAAAAACACTAGCAATTTCTGTAAAAAATGTGAAAATAAGCTCATTACTAAAATAGTTAAGTATGTATTTCATAGAATAATTGATCCTGCCACTGAGATTAGAACAACAGTGGTATCGTTTGACATGAATGTACCAAGCATCTTAACTTTTAGGCCACAATGGCTTACAAAAGTATTTACTGTAGTCCATAGACAACAATGTGAATGTCATTATCTTGAGATATGAGTTAGAAATGGAACCAGACTGCGTGATTGTTTTTCATCATAAAGAGGCAAGATGGAGGCTCTCATATACACAGATTAACAGAATGCTTGTGGTTTTAAAATTTCGTTTATGGTTACAGCTGCATCTTTTTCTGAAAGTTTCTATGGTCTACTCCGGGTGCCCATATCGTACAGTAGTGAGTTCAGCATTGGACAACGTCTCCCAATAGACTTAGAGCGAGGATCTCTTGCACTTCTAGTATTGTTGCCATACGTTAAGGACAAAGTCGGTGCCATTATTGATAAATGGAGGGAAGATGATGAAGATGGGAAACTTGGTAAGGTATGCAATTAAAATTTGAAAATGTGACGATTAGAAATAGGTAGCTGACTACAACCTTTATTGTATTATTAATTATTAATATGGGAATATATAATTGCTGATTATGAGTAACTACGTCTTTATAAACTAGAATATAATATGTGTGTCTGATTTGCACTATGTCAAATAGGCAACTTAATTAGTTAGGTTAAATACGTAGATTACTTAATTCTTCTGGAGATTGTACTATCTCAATAACATCCCACAACCAGTACTGGTTCCAATTGATCCCGTTGTTGTATCAGCTGTAGAGTTAGCTGGGCAACGGAAGCTGTACCTCCTCAGTAGTTTCTTAGTCAGGTTTACGATTTAACGTTTGTATACTGTTTGTGCATTTATGTATGTATTTTGTATTCGTACGTGTATTTTAAGAGAACTATCAAGTAATGTTTGTTTGTAAGTAAAAAAAGGGAATCTTATAAAGACAATGATTGGCTGACAGGCAGGATGAGGGAAATTCATTCTGTTTAACTTTACTTTTAATTTTTACAATAGAAATGCCCTTTAAAAAACTTTTTTTTTATAATTTCCCACTGAGTTTTTGTTACTGGATCTTCTCAGAGTTACGGGTTTTTTTTACTGCTGTTTTGAAATTCAATAAGTATATAGAAATCAGCTTAAATGATTTCATATACATTATTAATGTGTGTTTTCATGAAACATAACAAATTGTATATTTAGTGTACACAAAAAAATGTTAAATAAGGTAGAATTGGCTATCATCTCTATGACGTGTCATGTTCTTCAATCCCTTGAAATAACAGATATTAGTAATAATTAGATACAATATTAATAACATTAAAGACACGAATTCGCTTACGTAACGAAGTCTTCATAAAGTTTACGACACAGTATATCAGTACATGTTGTTGGTAAGTTTTACAGTTATCAGCTAATGTAAATTCTTTTGATAAAACTATCAATTTCTGTTTTAAGATACAATACGCGTTTATCTAGGTTTTACAGCACATTGTAATTTTATATCTGCCTTACTGAAGAGAAAGAGCTCCAATTGTTGATGGGGTGGGGCACGATATGACACAGGACAGGATCCGCTGGAGCCCGCCACAAAATGAAACATTCACTGCCATGTAGGTCACCGGTGCCCTACGCGGCGCACTGAAGCAATTATCTCGATTTCGGTTACTAAGCGCCTGGGTTGCGTAACTTTGCTTTCTTTTGTTGGATAATGTGTGTTTTAGTCTTTTAGGTCTCTTAGAAATAGATTCATTGTCAGTATCTTCGGATTCGTCTCTCCCAGTGTCTACTAGATATTCCGGCGCCTTAGTAAAAAGAACAAAGTTTTTTTTTATTGCTTAGATTGGTGTACGAGCTCACAGCCCACCTGATGTTAAGTGGTTACTGGAGCCCATAGACATCTACAACATAAATGCGCCATCCACCTTGAGATATAAGTTCTAAAGTCTCAGTATAGTTACAACGGCTGCCCCGCCCTTCAAACCGAAACGCATTACTGCTTCACCGCAGAAATAGGCAGGGTGGTGGTACCTTCCCGTGCGGACTCACAAGATGTCCTATCACCAGTAAATCGACATAGTTACTTCAGTGCGCCGCGTAGGGCACTGGTGACCTACACGGCAGTCAACGTGTTAAGAGATGAGGTCGTAGTCTCGATTACTTTGAATTACGGCTTCTTCCTTCACCGGACCGGAACACTGGATTATTCCGCGGCAGAAAAGGCACTTGTCTTGCACGGTGGTACCGACCCTCACAGGTGCACAAAATGAGCACAAGTAAAACTATGTGCATTGATACAAGACCAGCGCTTGGGTGTATTATGGACACTGGTCATTCAGGACACGCGCGGCCGGCTTCGTTCGGCAGCGATAAAAGTGTACGCGATCCTCCACCTCGTGTACGAGGGTCTCCAGCTGGTGCAGCTGGCGCGCTACCTGAGGGGCGGCTCCCCGTCGCACTCGCTGCCCATGGCGGCGCTGGGGCTCACGCTGAGGAACGCGCCCCCCCAGGAACTGCCCGAGGACGAATACACCTGGAGTGATTTATTCAAGAATTTGTCGTCTGGGCAAATCGGGTACGATTTTGTATTTGGTATCCATTGATAGTTTTAACAAGAATACAGTAATGTTTGTATTATATGAGGCCGTCAGCGAAGTGGCCTAACCCACAATTTTTCATATTGTATGTATTACATTATTTAAAACTTATTAAGTTTTGGTGCAAAACTAGTCTATCCCTGGTTTCATTCAAAGATAACAGATGGCTTTGTAAACATTATGTTTGCGCGTATAGTTTTTGCCTGCGAAGCAGTGTAAAAGTAAATCTAAGCCTTGTTATCTCCATACTACTAATCATGGTGAGTTTAAGCCACTTTTGCGCTGACGGCCTCATATAGCGTCTGCAATCCGTTCACAGCGACCGCCGGAACCGCCATTCTGTGTGCTTAGTGCGAGTTTTATAACGTTCTCGATAGCGTAAAAGATAAGCCAATTTTGTATGCAGTTGGAACAGCGTCCCTAGCGCCAAACGTACGCAAATGATCCCATGCCATACAAATATGAGCTAACTTTTACGATATCGAGAACGTTAAAGAGCTCGCACTAAGCGCACTGAATAAAATCCGAACAAGTTTGAATCAACGTGGGTCAGGGAAAGCGCCCCCCGTCCCCCGGTCCCCGCGCGGCCCGGAGTGCGGTCGGGCCATAGACCTATATAGTAGGGACACGACATATTGTTCTATACGTACAATTGCTTATATAAATAGCACCCATTTTGAAGGCACATACATAAACATATATCTATCTCGTTCTTACTCAGCACTTTAACTCGCAGGAAAACAATATAACAGTATTTCAGTGCGTACATAAAATGAAACATGAATATACGTAAATATCTCCGTCTCCGTCTAATGAGGCCGAAAATCCGCCATGTTTAGCGCGCCAAATGTCATTGTCACGTCAGTTCGGCCGTCTGTTTTGGGTTGTACATTATTTATTGACTTTGATATCGATTTAATATGATTGATTATATAAAATTTCATAATTTATCATGCTTAAAACATACAAAAATAATAATTAAAACGTATTTTATAGGATCTCAAGAAAGTCGATGTCC